ACAATACAAGGGTAGGTAGAATCAGGCAACAAAATAAAAGTGAGGGCAGGGGGATAACTAATAAAACTTAAAATCTCAAGAGGCAGGCATTACCTCTACAAGATGGCAAGTCTTTGGCAGGGAAAATGGGCAGGCTTCACAATCCTGATCTAGACATGCTCCAGGGTTTGGATAAAGAAGACTTCAGTGGAACAGGAAATATGATATCCTCATAATGAAAGGCTGGGTGGGTGTTTCATAGGCCCCGGGGCAACTGATATAAATCCCAAGATGGTAGAGATTGAAGATGGTTTCAGCATTTTTTTTTTTTGGTTGTGACAATAATGACCATCTAGTGGCCCTAGGTCCCCAGACTTTCTTCCCCCACCCCCCTGCATTCCAGAGAGTACATATTTAGAAGAAAAGGAGCTTAAACTAGGGTTATCAGATTTAGTTATGCCCAGTTAAATTAAATCTCAGATAAACCATAAATTTTCTTAGTATAGGTATGTCCCAGTATTGCATGGGACATACTTATACTAAAATATTTTTGTTGTTTACCTGAAAGTCAAATTTAACTAGGCATATTATATTTTATCTGGCAATAATACTTAAATACTTACATTAGTGTATTTGTTAGTAAAATATGACTGTAGTGAGTTCTCTCTGCTTCTACCCAGCATCTCATCTAAAGTGAGAGAGGGTATACTCATTCCCAACAAAGGAAGATAGGGGAGATGTTTTCTGTCAATAGAGAAGATCTATTGGCAAAGCAACACTATTAATTACTAAAAATCTCTTATATGAGATTTTTCAATCTTGAGGGAAAGTATCGTAAGACAAAAATGAAAACTTAGAGAATTTCCCTCTCTGCTTTTGACGAATAAAGAGAATGTCAAAACTACCAAAGAAGTATAGTAATAGAATGAATAGAGTTGGAGGTTTTCACTAATTTAATAACGAGATAATAGAAAAGTTTGGAATAATTCCCAGGTTTATGGTTTGGTTGGATAGATGGTATGATGGACAAGAAGAGAAAGGGAAATATTAAATACTTGAGGGAAATATTAAATTTCAGTTTGGGAATGTGGATTTTGAAATGTCCTTTGGTGGATATGTCCACCATGCAGTTGAATATAAAGGACAATCAGTATTAGATATACAATTACTGTTGAAACCATCGAAATGGAAATGATCTCAGAGGTAGGATAGATACTGGATAACAAAGGGCCAATGATGGTGCCCTGGGGAACACGTAGATTTCAGGGGCAGATAAAGAAAGAAGAACACATAAAGTAAACGAGGAAGAAAATGTAGAAAGAAACTAGGAGAAATGGTGTCCTGGGGGAAAGAGGTGAGAGCTCTGCAAAGGAAGTGTTCGAGAGTGCCAAATGCTAATGAGGTCGAGTGAGATGCAATGCAAAGCACAGTCAATGAATGTGACAAGTGGAATGCCACGGGGGACGTGTGCCAAAGTGTATTTATTGAAGCAGTGAGAGCCAAGGCCAGATTGCTGCCAATTAGCAGGTCACAGAAGTAAGAAAGTGGAAATAGTGGATGCAGATCTACCTGTCAGAGAGGTTAGCTGTGGCTTAGAGGAGGTATGGCAGTATTGGAAGGGCACACAGGCTCCGAGAAGAGCTCCCTGCTCTTTTTATTTAAAGGGAACATGAAATTTAGGCATTTGGTGGTTTTGTGTTTTTATTATGATAGAAACTTGATGATGTTTATAAGTTGGTGAAGTTGAGGTTGAAACTGCAGAAGAGAAGATAGGTAAGCGAGAGTGGTCAGGGTCCTAAAAGTACAGAAGGGGTGGGAAACGAAAGCACAGATGGAGGTTTTAGTCTTAAAGGAGAGTTTGCATGTTTTAGATACTGTTTCCTCTACTGTAACTGAAAAACGGATGAAAATCAGTGAGTTGTAGAGGTGAAGGGGATGTAGGAAGAGACAAAGAACTTGGAGAAACAATTCAGGTTGTCCTTTCAGACTTAACCATAAAGGAACACATCTACTGGGGAGAAAATGCTCAGTCATGTTACCATGCTTTGACTGAAGTTTAAGGGAAGAATATGTCAACCAGAAGGACTCAAATCAGACAGCATAGCAAGTACAGAAAAGGGTGACAGAGGCAGAAACTGGCTGAGCACTCAGAAATCAGGGTTGCGGATTCTCAGTCAAGCCTACCTGACCAGTTTATATCACTGTTGAAATGTAACATGTAAGATCCTAGTGCCTTTAAGCATTCAAATATTTTAACTAACGTACCTTGTTTTTGTTTTGTTCTCAATAAGAACCTTTTATGAACATTGCTTGCCTGGTGCCAATGTTTATTCCACCTTCTATTAACTTTCTCATTTCAAATTGGCATTCTGATTTTGATAACTGAGTTTCTTATGAATTAGTGTGAGTCAACTCCCTTAAGCTAAATTAACAGCAACAACATAATCAAATCTAAAGTTTTGACTTGCTTCTCTGACAACTAGATCCTAGATTCTGGTGAACATAGTCACCTTACAAGGAGGCTTCCTAACAACAGCTGGTCCAGCTTTCCTGGAGACATCTCAGTCGAGATGCATAATTTTCCTTATTCCAATTCTGGTTTGAAAAATGACTGTAAGTCATATACATGCATATATATACTAGTATATCCTGTGTCACACATAGCTAGGAGAGATAGTATACAGTATAGCTCATGAGCTCATGGTTAAGCTTATGAGCTCTGAAACCAAACCCACTGAATTAGGATCCAGCCCCGCTACTGGATATGCTCTGACCTCCTGGTTCATACTTGAGTTGTGTAACCTCAGCCAAGTTAATTAGCTTCTTGTTATCTTAATTTTCACATCTTAAAGAATGAATATAATGCTAATCTCTACCTAATAATATTTTGTTTTCTTCTATTTTTTGCAGATTAAGTGAGTTAATGCATGTAAAACTAGTAAAATTTTTGGCACATAGTGAGTGCTTAAACAATATTAACCATTAGTATTAGCTCCAAACTTGCCATTCCCACAGACATCCATCATTAACTGTGTCCCAAACTGTGCTTGTTATCCTCTCTTTGTTTCTTTTTTAACAAATATTTATGCTTCCATAAATAAAGAGAGGTTTATGCTTAACCTCACAAGCAATGAATGTGAAGGAAACAATAGTGAATAAGGTCCCTCACCAAAAAATTCACTGCCTGGTGGGGAAAGATGATGATGAATAATGGTTAATCACAACACAATAAAATATGATGCCTGTCCTTTCGTGCCTTAACAAGCAACTCATATGCCCAAACAAAGAAAACCACATTTTTGTGACCTCTCTCCTCTGCCTCATCCCCTATAACCAAATCACCAAATTGTTTTCATTGTGAATGTGGAGGACGGGACTTAGCATTTTGTTTAGTGTCATCAGGCACCCAAGACCTCTTCATCTTTGTGACCTTCAACCCTGTGTGTGTAGACCTTTACTCTTATACTTCCTGCCTCATGGTCACAAAATGAGTATCAAACCTCCAGGCCATGTGTGCCCAGTCCAGGCAAAAAGATGAGAGGAAGGAGAAGGGATGGGCTTTCCTAAGTGAGCTTTGTCCTTGTGAACAAGACAGGGAAGCCCTTCATAGGGACTCTACCTCACTAACCAGAATATCATCATATGGCTGCCTGCAATTGTAAAGGAGTCTGATATGTTAACCATGTAATTAACAGGCATGTTGCTGCCTTAAAAAGCAGGGGTTCTATTAGGAAGAAGGAAGTATGAAAACAATGTCATGGGTTACAAGCAGTGATTGCCACACACAAAAATAAAATAAAATAAAAAAATAAAAGAGTATATGTATTTCAATCCGAAAGGTACTTTTCTTAATCCTAAAGGTACTTTTCTCAATCTGGTCTTAAATTGCAGTATTTTTATGTTCACTATAAATACTCTGTAATTTTCCTTTGTTTTTATCATTACTGAGAATGTAACAAGGTACAGAATAGAATGCTTGTTATGCAAAATCACATGTAAGAAAAGGGTAGGGTGAAACATTTATCATCTTTGCTTATATTTGCAAAGGGAATCTTTGGAAGGATTAATAGATCAGAAACAAAAAAAAAGTGTTTATTTGTTGGGATCAGAGTTTGGAACAGGGTGATTAGCCAAGAGGTATTAATAAAACTTTTCACTATATGCCATTTTTCTTTTAATTTTTTAAATATATGTATTTACCATGTGTATTACATACTGAAAAATTAATAATAAAATAAGTATGCATTCCCCAAATAACTAAATAAAATGTAAAAATTAAAAGTATGCTTCTGTATTGATCTTATTAACATTTCTTTGCAACATAGCCACTTAATTCTTTTAACCACTCAAAGTATAGTTGAGCTCCTTTTTCTTTTACAATTTAATGAGCCATATAATTTTCCATCTAAATAAAAACTTGATGGAAGCTAATGTAATTACTTATTTATTTTCTATACTAACACAAAAACAAATCCAATAACAGTACTTAAACTATGCAATGAGTGATATTGATGTTATAGTGTTTTTTTGGCAACCATCCTTTGAATGCATTCCACAAATATTGAACTACCAAATTACTTTGTTCTTGAATCAACAGTAGTAATTCCTCATTCTGTTGTGATTATGTCAGATTTCACATTAAATACTATGTTCCAATATTTTAGGTTCATTTTTTAATTTAAAACTATAACTGAAAGTTTTTACCTGATAGCAGCTTTTACCTAATAGCTCCTCACATAAAGAATTGTGGAAGCTAGTTCTATCCTTGTAAATATTTATATCTGAAGTCGTATATTAAAAATCTTTTAGCCACTGTGGTAACACTATTAGTGATCACTAATGGGTTTTTTCCTCTTCTTCCTGGAGAAGCAGCCATACAACCGTTTTTAACATTTCTTTTTATTAAGTATGACCATTTGACTGAATTTTGGCTAATGCAATGAGAGGTCGATGATGCTGCTACTTTTAGGCCTGGCTCATAAAAACCTCTCACCTATCATTTTCATTCTTTTGTCTGATAGAGTGAAGAGGATTTCCTGGACTTAGAAGAAAGGGATGAACAGACTGGAAACCAACTGGATTACTGAATGACTACATGGAGAAGAATCTGCCCACTTTCCTTTCAACAACATACATTGGGCTTACTAAGTATTCAATATTTATGGCATTAAGACATTGACAGTTTATAATTATTATAAGAATTAGTCCACCTGGCTAATAGAGACAACCATCTGGTACATCTGAAATTATTTAAAGGGATTGTTAAATATGTAAGTTCACAAGTTCCTGCAATTTTTTCTTCAAAATAGACTGAAAAAATTAAAATCCAGAAAATATTATTGTAATCTATTTTTTAAATCAGCATTTAAAGTGATTTTTAAAATTTGAGGTATGGTTACAATTAGCAAAATGTTATAGGCCAAAGAGAACATATAGTATGTTTGATTAAAGCACTCAGTTTTAGGTGTCAAATTCAAGATGAACTTCAGTGAAAATTTTGCCCTGTGAATATGTTTCATCTTTTCTTTTTTTCTGACTTGTTAACATTTTTCTCTACATTATATCTATTTTCTCACTAACTTGACATAACAAAATATTTAAGTAAATATTACAGACCATTTCCAAATCTTAATTTAACATGATTACTCTTTTTATTAATTATCTTAAGTTCTGGCTTTAGGATGATTATATAGATCAGAATATAAAATGAAGCTCATATGGAAAGCATAGAGTAAACTTTGCTCTTTTGCTTTTATTCCCTTTATTAATATTATCTAGTATTTAAAAAATCATTTGGTCTAAAAAGAAAAACTATTCTCTGAGCCACATAAAGGAGGAGAGATTAGTAAAAAGTATAAGTAGAATATTATAATATTTGTTAGAAAAATTTGCATTTAATACATTTAAAATATAAAATACACACTTTTAATAGTTTATGTAAAATTTTCTTTTAAGTCTTCATTTTTATGAACTAACCTTGTATGTGCACATGCGTGTGTACATGTATGCATTTACTACTGCCACTAAAGGCTTACCATTATAAATCTAAAATATTACCAATTAATTTATGTACTCATAAATTATTCACTGCTTCACAGAGATAAGTTTTATCAGTTGTAATTCTATTTTTTTTATTTTAAAGGTGCAGGCATTAAGAAAACTTATTTACAAAAATAGCCAGGGATATGAAAAGTTGTGATGTGGTGTTATCATTTCATTATTTGAAATCCATGCAAGATTGTGACAATGAAAACATGATCAGGTTGATTAGAAATTCCTTCAGTTATTTTTAAGAGAAAAGAATGGAACCCACCTGACTTTAAAGGATTTGTTATCCATGTGTAACAAATATTACCCAAATCTTAGTTGCCTACAACTGTTCCTGGAGGATATAAGCTGGCCCCATTCCCCTAACTCTATCAGGCATCACACTACCTCCCACCACAGGAACGGGGTGAGCAGCTCATAAGTTTCCATGGAGAGGGAGGTCACATGACCCAGAGCTGGCCAATCAATATATTGCACTTTAAAAACCACAATGATTAACTCAGGGCTGGGCATGTGACTAGTCAGGTCCTATGATTCAGTCCCTAATGTTGGAATCATGGGAGAAGAGAAGTTCTATTTCAGTTGGAGAGCTGAGCAGTTATGCTGAGTCTGTGGCTGTTGGTGGCCATCTTGCTTTCATAAAAAGAAAGCCCAGGCGAGAATGACAACAGCACAGAGGGAAGTAAAGCTAAGAGGTCGGAAGAGGCCTTCTATGCTGAATTCTTAGAGTCCAGGTACAGTCTTGCCTGAAGCTGTCTACACTTAGACATCTTAGTTACATAAATTGTTTCCTCCTCCCCTGATTCGTTGCTTGTTTTCTGACATTGGCTATCAAGAGAATTCTGACTTTTCTTTCCAGCAGGCTAAATGGAGTTTCCTGGAACTTCCAGCAATAGGGATAAGGTCAGCTGCAAGGAGGAACTTCCAGCTAACACTGTAAGTCTTGAACTTAATCTTAAGATCAAAATGAGTTTAAGCAATATCTATTGAGGGCTGACTACTGGCTAAACCAATGTAATCCTTGTAAGATTAACCCCGTTAAGGTAGCAAATGCTTGGCACTTGAAGGCAGGCATGACCAAGATCTGACAGTTGGGACCGCACCTCAGGGTTCAGGAGCAGTGCTTGGGCCAAAGCGATGCCCTAGGTTTTCTGACGGCTGTGGGCTTCTGGTTAAGGAGGTGGCGGGTAAGGGACAGATTACCAGGTCCCAAAGCTGTCCTGAAGGCCCACTGTGTGCAGATTCAGAGTGGACAGAGAATAAAAGCCAGAAGCTTTTCTTAGGGATGTTCACAGATCAAATAGGGACACACCAGATAGAGCATGATAGTTCATTAGCTGTGTTCATGGTGAAGGGCAGGGGGATTGAGCAGAGACCCAGGTGTGCTAGGGAACTTTTAAAGACAGAGAATTTTGAACTGAGACTTGAAGTAAAAGAAAACCCACATACGAGTGACAAACTACAAAGGGATATTAACTTTTAATGTTGAAAGATGATGTGAGAGGTGGCAGATTCAAAAGTGGCCTGGTAGCCCAACAATGTCATATACTTTATTACTTGAATATTTTACTATATTCATATATTAATTTTTAACTAAAAATGGTTTATAGAGCATCTTTCACCAATTTATATTTTCCCACTCTTAAACATTAATATTAAGCCAAATCATAATTCAAATTATAAAATTCTTCAAATCCTTTTTGTCCAGTGGTCTAATAAGAATTTCAAGAAACTTTATACTACTTGACATATTTTTAGATGAACATCTAAAATTCTTCATTGAAAATTGACATAGCTGCAAAGAATTAAAGGGGATATAAAGACTTGTGATGTGACATTGTTGTTTGATTCTTCGAAATCTTTGCAAAATTGTGACACAGTACAATAATAAGGCTGATTAGAACTTTCTTGAATTATTTTTAAGAGTAAAGATTTGGAATCCAAATCTCAGTGGCCTGCAATGAGGTTTAATTATCTCTCATGCTGCATGTCTACATGGTTCTGCTCCATGATATCTGCCCTCTGGACTCAGGCTGTCAACTCAGTCTTGAATACTGTCTCTGTTGTGGAAGAAGGAGAAGAGAGGTGATCAATCACACACTGGTTTTTAAAGGGTGTGCTCACATTTCTCTGTTCATCAGCCCCTTTGCCATCCCTGAGAGCAACAGGGTCAGGGCTGTGTAATTCCACTGAATGACTGGCATCAATCAAGGGCACTGAATGGGGTGAATTGTAATCCAGTCCCACATTATGCTTAAGATTTAGATGTTTACCCAAGGAGTGATGGAATGCCATTGAGTACAGTTTTCATTTTCAATAAATCACTCTGACCATAGAGAGGAGAATAGAAGATTAGAAATGGGCAAGAGTGCATTTAGGGAGAAAATAAGAAGGCCATTTCAGTCTTTCAAAAAAGTAAAATATGATAGAGCTTTAGACTAGGGTCATGACAGTGGAAATGGAAAGAAACCACAAAACTTAAACCATAGGAGGATCTAGTGATGCCAAGAGATGCTGTGGCCTCGAGTGATGGGTGGTGTTGGTGGTGGAAGCCACAGCCGACATGGTTTCTCATGTCTTACCAGTTAGTGACTCCGGTCTATTGAGGAGTCAAGCTATTCTAGTCTCTGTTTTTGGATCTTGTTTTCTCCTAACAAATATTCCCTCCTTCATAATAATTAATTAATTAATTAGGTCAGTTAAAAGGGGAACAATATATTAATAAGGTAATGAGATGCTGAGTGAACTGACAAATGAGTGACAGATTGGGCATGGGAATTTATCTGTATCCACAAATGTTCAAAGAGAGAAGAGAAAGTAGACTCAGCCAGAAGAAAAAGAAAGTCCTCCCTACTGGGCTTGCCTCAGAAGAATCCCTCCCTTCTACCAACACATCAGGAGTCTCTCTTCTTCCAGGCAGCCAGGACCAATTTTAGCTGCAAAGGAGAAAGGAGGGGTGGGCAGGAGAAGAAGAGGGGAGGAGGAGGGAAGTGGATGATGGATGGGCTCCTTGGACCCTCTACATCATCCTCTCCTCCTTTCCATCAACCTCCCTACACTTCCCTTTCAGAGTCCCGCACTGCTTTTCAGGGTTGGGAGGGCTCGGGATTCACAAACTCCCCCAAAGAGATTTTTTGTAGCAGCAGCAGCAGCATCAGGCAACCTTCCAGGAACTTGGAGCCTGGGGTCCTCGCAGACAGAGAAAACCCAGATCCTCCTCTGTCCTGGGCTCACAACTGGAGAGACGTGTTCTGAGATTGAGCACAGTATGTCAGAGCAGAGTGGGTGCTGGGATTTCATTTACCCCAGAGCCTCATGTTGCTGATGAGAAAGCAGGAGCCCAGGGAGGGGAAGCAATTCCCTCAGGGCCACACAGTGAGGGCCTGAGTGGGACTGGAAGCTAGTTCTAGATGCTGGCTCATATAGAACTCATTTCCTTTGGAAGACTCCGGGGTGATAAATTCCCCAGAATAATTAACAATCTTGAAAACTTCCAGTAGATCATTGTAGGTGCTCAGTAGGTTTTTGTTGACTAGATAATTATAATTTGACACACACAAAAAAATAGCAGGCCTTGAAGCTGGTAGTGGATCTCAAATCTTGAATTCAAAAAGGGCATTTCACTCCTTTTTTTTATATAGTTGAAATGGGAATTGGGAAAGGAAATGTTGCCACATAGCTTCTTTTGTTAAAAAGAGACAAGTGCCCCGTCGGTGTAGCTCAGTGGTTGAGCATTGCCCTATGAACCAGGAGGTCACTGTTCAATTCCTGGTCAGGGCACATGCCTGGGTTGGGGGCTCAATCCCCAGTGGGGGTGAGGGGTTACGCAGGAGGCAGCTGATCAATGATTCTATCTCATCATTGATGTTTTTATCTCTCTCTCCCTCTGCTTCCTCTCTGAAATCAATAAAAATATGTTTTAAAACAAATAAAGGAGACAACAGGCTGTGGGTAGAGGATATGTGCAGGTCCAACCCAGGAAATTAAGCACAGAGGAAGCTGGAGACCCATCCCTGCTCTATCAGGCATCACGCTACCTCCCACCCCAGGAACAGGGTGAACAGCTCACAAGTTTCCATGGAGAGGGTGGTCCCATGACCCAGAGCTGACCAATCAGTACATTTCACATTCTAAACCATAGTGATTGGCTCAGGGCTGGGAATGTGACAGTTAAGTCCCATGAGTCAGTCCCTAGTGTTGGAATCATGGGAGAAGAGAAGTTCTATTTCAGTTGGAGAGCTGAGCAGTTATGATCTGAGCCTGTGGCTGTTGGTGGCCATCTTGCTTTCATAAAGAGAAAGCTCAGGTGAGAATGACAACAGCGCAGAGGGAAATAAGCAAAGCCAAGAGGTCAGAGGGGTATGTTTGCTGGATTCATGGAGCGCTCAGGTAGTCTTGCCTGAGCTGTCTACACTTAGACATCTCAGTTACATAAACTGATTTCTCCTGCTTTGATTGTTTGACTCCCATCTAATCTGGATTTCCAAATGGAGTCAAGTGGTATCTGTTGAGAGCTGGGTACTGGCCAAACCAAATTACCCCTCATGGGATTGATTAACCCTGATAAAGTAGCAACTGATGTTTCCATTTTAGAGGGCAAAATTGAGGCTCTGAGAAGGGAGGTCCAGAGTGAGGAAGCGAGGAGCCAGACTGCACACCACATTCTGCTTGTACTCTGGGAAGATGCTTAATGTAACTTGTCCACATGAGGGTGGCTAAGGCACCCTGCTCTATACCCAGTGTACCGTGGGTGCCTGAGGCTTGGAAACTGTCCTGTGCAGGAGACTTGCAGAACCCATTTCACTGATGGATGGTGCTGGACCTTTTTTCACTGGCATGAACTCACCCTCCTAGCTTCCCCATGCCCAGCATCCTGTCTCGTTTTCCTGGGCAATAACACAAATGCTCGTGTAACCACACAGGCAATCATCCATTCTCAGAATAGCATCTAGAGCTACCATAGGTGAGGACCAGAGTGTTTGGCCCTCCACTATACCAGGTGACATCTTCTTCCTTTGGATTTGGGAAACCGTCCTCCCCGTTTACACACCAAGGGCTTTTCCAGGACATGCAGAGAACCTCACCCAGTGTGAAAGGGATGGAACAAGTCCTTTCTATGTCTCCCTTCTACGGAGGTCATGTTCTCCTTTCTATGCACAAGGCCTCCTGTTGCTGACGGGAGGCTGAGCTGACCATAAGTCGACAGCTCAGCATTTGAAGGCAGGCATGAGGCAAGATCTGACAGTTGGGACCTCATACTCAAGCTGGAGAGGCTATAGAAGCCCACAAGGTTTGGAAGCAGTGCTTGGGCCAAAGTTATTTCCTAGGTTTTTGCCTACTGTGTGCAGGCTCAGTGTGGACGGAAAAGAATAGACAGAGGCATGCCTCAGGGCTCTTCACAGATCAAATAAGGGCACACCAGACAGACAGAGCACCATAGCTCATGAGATGCTTTCAGGGGGAAGGGCAGGGGCCTTGAGGAGATACACGTGCACTGAGGAAGTAGTTAAGGACAGACAATTTTCACTGAGACTTGAAGGCTGTAGTAATTAGATATGTGTTTGGTTGAACTAACAGAAAACCTACTAAGAGTGGCTTAAACTATAGTGCCTTCTAACATTTAATGTTGTACATGATGTGAAAGATGGGAGGTCCAGGGCTGGTCTGGTGGCCCAACAATGTCAAAATACCTCAGATGCCTTGCACCTCTGCACTCCACCATTAGCAGAATATATTTCTCACTCCCTCATGGTAGCACTATGGCTGCCTGCACGCCAGCCTTCACATCTGCATAGTTAGTGCTTAAGCCAGAAGCAAGGGTCCACCTTCTTCCCAGCCCATCTATTTCTCTACAGGAAGGAGCATCTCTCCCACAAGCCCCGGTAGACATCCTCTAATATCTCATTGGTTACAACTGGGGCGCAAGTTCCCCAGCCAAGCACTAGCAGGGATAATGCAGTTGCTGTAACTTCCTGGAATAATTGTAATTTTTTTTTCAAACTGAGTATCCACAGGAAGAAGGAAATGTGCTGGGTGAGCAACCAACATCATCCTGCCGTAAAGGAGAAATGAACAAGGTAGCTGAGGGTTCAAAGCCAAGGGAACTGGAGGAACAGAATATGCAAAGGTACAGAAGTGCATGAGACACCTCAGGTGCTCGGGATTGGTAGTGATTCATCACTGCAGGAACACCACACAGGTGGGGAAAGGTGGGCAAGGTGTCATATCACATTTTATGCCTGCAGCAGGCAGGCCTTAGGCAATGGGAGCTACTGAGAGACACCGAGTGAGAGAGAGAGCAGGAGCAAATAGAAAAACCACAGGTGTGCAAGGTCACCTGTATCATAGGATGACCTTAATCAATGACCTAGATTAGTGAATTTGCTATTAGCAGCCACCTCTTTCAAGATATTAAAAGACACACATTCAGCCCTGTTATTTAGACAGCTGCAATGTTACATCTGTAATGCCTGCAACCTCACCTTTCCCTGCCCTGGGCCCAGCCTTCAGCCCACCACCTCCATCCCCCAGGGCACCTGATCCAACCCAGCACTTTGTGTTGTAATATACATAGGAAGCCCACACCTCTTAGGGCAGCGGTTCTCAACCTGTGGGTCGAGATCTCTTTGGAGGTCGAAAGACCCTTTCACAGGTGTCGCCTAAGACCATCCTGCATATCAGATATTTACATTACGATTCATAACAGTAGCAACATTACAGTTATGAAGTAGCAACAAAAATAATTTTATGGTTGGGTCACAACATGAGGAACTGTATTTAAAGGGCCAGAAATTTGAGAACCACTGTCTTAGGGCGAGGGTAACTGTGTCTCAGTTTCCAGAGGAGAAACAGAGGCTGGAAGTCGGTAAGGGGCTTGGTGGTGAGCTGTGGGGATGAACCTTGAGCCCAGAGCCTGTCTTTCCCACTCCACCGTGCCACCTCAGGGCTTCAGAGGACTGCACCCTCCTAACTGTTCCGAGATGTTTGATGAACCTGAGCTTCCTCCCACCCCCAGGCCTGCTCTTTATTCTTAGTGATCAAACCCACCATCCCAGTCCCTTCTTAAAGGGGAAAGGGAAAACGCCCAACTCCTGCCTTATAGCCATGAGTCAATGCTGCACTTTGTTGTCCTAGTGTGAACCTCTCGGTCATAATTAGCACAGGCCACAGGACCACAATTCCCCTTGGGCTCCGTGCAAATGTTAGGTAATGTGAGTGCAGGAAGGTAACACTGGTCTGCCTTTCTGCCCTGCAGTATGGCTCACAGCCTTTCACTTCAGAACCACATTCATGCCCTGGCTTATTTGGCTCAGTGGATAGAGCATCAGCCTGAGGAATGAAGGGTCCAGGCTTCAATTCTGGTCAAGGGCACATGTCTAGGTTGTGAGCTGGGGACGTGCGGGAGGCAGCCAATCAATGATTCTCTCTCATCATTGATGTTTCCATCTCTCTTCCTCTCCATTCCTCTATGAAATAAATAATAAAAAAAAGCAAACAAAAAACACATTTGTTGCTGTTGAGAGTTATGGTATTAATTCTTTCTTTCTTTCTCTCCCCCCCCCTCCCATTTAGTTCTGATTAGTCCAAGGGCTACATCACTACATGCTTCTCAAACTGGAGGATGCACAGCCCCGATTCTGTGCAGGGAGCAGACCAAACAAGAGTATCCCATGTATCTTTCTGAAGCACCAAGTTTATTACAAGACTTGGAAGAACCAAGTACTTTAATGAGAATCATCCCCTTGCACAAACATGGAAGGAAAGAGGAACAGGAGAGGTGAAAAGGACCCCAGGGGAACAGGCCGGCTGAGTGGTGGGCCTGCAGCGAGGGGGCCTCTCCTGCTGTCCCTGAGGCGGCTTCATCCATCCTCCAAGTTCAGCAGGTATTTTTGGTCTTGAGTTTTGAAGGCCACAGAGATGCCCGGTGCCCTTCTGATGTGAATTTGTGCGGAGAACATCGTGGCAGTTTGCACAGCTCCACTGTCCACTGGATCTAGTGCTCTCTCGCCCAGGGGTCCTGGCACACACAGTGTGCACATTATGCTCCTCTTCTTCTGGAAGCTCTCCGCGTCCAGCCTTTAGTCTTTCTCCCTGCACCATGTGACCTGGCTCCCTGGAGCTCATCATGGTTCATCTCTTCATTTAAAGCCGAGGATGCGTAGCTTGACCTCCTGGACTCTCTGGTTGTATCCCTTCCTTGGCTGTCCCCCATTTACATGGACTCTACATTTTCCCAAGCTTTTTTTTTTTTGTGGATGACCTGAGGCAGAGCTTTTTCAACATAAAGACCAAGATTCTCCTGGTGACCCCTGAAGGCCCTGGCTGGTTCCCTCTGGGGATCCGCAGCTGCTGCTATGACTATCAGATCGTTTTGGGTGTCCAGGAATCCCCAGAGCCACCCTGGAGGCTGGGCTGGGTGTGGCGGCCCCTGACTCTGAGATGACTGGTGGAATGGTAGGCTCTTGGGTCTTCTGTCACAACCCCTGGTCCTCAGGCTGCTTATACATTTCCAGACACCTGGAGAACTCTGGGTGAACCTCCTGAGTTGGGGAGGGACCATGGCTGCTGTGGTCAGGGGAACAGAAGGGCCCTATCACAACGGTATGGCACTCCAGTTTTGGTTTCTTGCTGCTCACAATGAGACAAGTGGCCACTATGTTGGTGAACCTCTTGTGCTTTTCTGTCTCTTGGTTCTCATCCCACTCAAACCCCAGGCTCATCATCGCTCTGTCACCCAGGAGTCCATGTAGTCACAGGGAGGCTCACTGTAAGGACTGAGTATTTCTTCTTGGCCCATGTTTAGCCATGGGTCTCCCATAAACTACCTCTGTCCCTTGGATGAGAATCAACAATTTTTTAAATGTCTTTTCCAATTCAAAGGATGGATAAATGGCGTGAGGTATTTATTTTCTGCTTAATATCTGCGGCCGCAGCTCCCTAAAGTGTTTTTCTAGGAAGGGCAGGTCCCTGTCAAAATTTTATACAGAACTACTCCTAGGCTCCATACCTCAACCATAGGTCTGTCATATTTTTGGCCCAGAAATAGTTCTGGGGCAGCATAAGAGAGGGTATCACAAACATGTGCAACTTATCGCCCAAAAACTGAGTGCTAAGTCCAAGTCTCTGGAGGAGCTCTGCTGATTGATGACTTTTATAGCCATTTCTGTACAGTTCAGAACATGTCGGCCCAACCCCCGCTTCGCTGCCCTCTCCAATGGTGCTGCGGAAGATGTAATCCCACTATGGGGCTCCTGGTCCACAATTTTGATGTTCCTCTGAGCATCAAGGAACATGTTCTTTGGCTCAGGTCCCTATGGACTATGCCTTTTTGATGGCTGTGCTGCACAGGTGATACCAGCTGATGGAAAATACTTCGGGCCTCCTTCTCGGTCATGCGGTAGTGATCCTCCAGGTAATCGGATATGTTCCCTCCACTTAGGTGCTCCATGATGAGGCAGAGTTTTCTCCTGGTGCCAGTCACCTCAAATAACTTGATTATATTCTGGTGATTGAATGCCTTCATGCATGGAAGTCCTGCAGGGGAAGTCGCTGGAGGAGCCCTGCTGATTGATGACTTTGACAGCCATTTCTGTACCATTCAGAACGTGTCAGCCCAACCCCCCCTTCGCTTCTCTCTCCAGTGGTGTTGCGGAAGTTATAATGCCCACTATGGGGCTCCTGGTCCACAGAGATGGCTGCAAGGTTATCCATATGGTGACTTGCTAACTATACTAACCGGCAATACTAACAATGCTAACTATGATTACTAAATATGCTAATACACTAACAATGCGGACTATGCTTATTAACTATCCTACAAAACAATAACTATAATAACAATGCTAACAATCTATACTAGCTCTACCGACAATACTAATGGTACAAACATTGCTAATTTATAACACTATCTAAATTTGTTTAAATGAGAAAAACAAAATACTGAAAAAAAGAATAAAATAATAAAACAAAAATTAAGTAAATTAAAGAAATGGGGGGGGGAGAACAAAAGAATAGTGAGAACAAGACAAAAAGAATAATAGAGAAGAAAAAAGACAGCAAAAAAATAAGAAAAAGGAAATAAGCAGAAAGCCCTAACCCCCGAGTGGCTGTACTTGGAGATGGGGTCTGTGAGGTGCTCAAGGTTAAATAAGGTCAAAAGGATGGGGCTCTGGTCCAGTAGGGCTGGTGCCCTGACAAGAAGAAGAGGCACCAGAGCACCCCCTCTCTGCACAGTGAGAGGGCAGCGGGCTGCAGCCAGGAAGCGTGACCACACCAGAAACTGACCCTGGGGGACTTTGATCGGAGACTTCCAGCCTCCAGAAGGGGGGAAAGTAAACTTCTGGTGTTTAAGCCTTTCCTAGTCCCTGTGGTTTGGGAGACATTAATCTTCCATCATACCGGAATCAAAAGTGAGCACATCACCTGGACTTGGCCAATCCACGGATTCCATCCCTTTTGCTTCAGTAACCAGTTTGAGGATGGATGTGTGACCCAAGTCCAGCAAATCTGTGCCAGGACTTAACCACAGAACTATACAAATGGAAGTTCTTTACCCACAGGCGGCTGCCATGGCTACTACTTTGGGGAAACTGACCTGAGAGTGAGGCCTACATGGAAAGCAGAGCTAAGGTGGCTCCTGGTGATGTAATTTGAGCCCCTGCACCAAGCCAGACCTGATGCCCACCTGATTTGGATGGGGTTGGGGCACAGTAGAGCTCTGATCAAAGCCATCAAAACACTGATCTTGTCTGAGTGCGAGATTGTGTTCAGCACAATGAAGGAAGGAAGAAAGAGGACTCCAGGGAGAGAAACCCCAAGAGTATGCATGCACGTGCATGTGGGCACACAGTTCAGGTCAGAACAATGCACATCATGGGGGGACTTGCAGCCAACAGAGAGGAGGAGGGCTGCTCTACTCAAATGGGAAGTTATACCACATTACTGACCTCTTTGTATGATGTGCAATTTGCTTTGAAACAAGAATAAAAAGAAGAGACACATTAGGCAGATGTGACAAAGCGTAATGGTTGCATTAATTCAAACAGCATTAAACACGGCGCCACAGCCCATTTGGAATCTTTAAAAATCCCCAGGCCACGCATCTCTCCCCGAGGAGGAAACCCTCAGTGTTGTCACTGTCCTTTTCTTACCGGGTCCAGGGCCTTAAATGCACCACTGCCTGGGATCCCTGGAGGTCAGGCTGCCCGGTCAAGGTCACACAGCTTGTCAGGGCACAGAACACGGACACAGGCTTTCTTACGTAAACCTTGTGTTTGACTCACCGACAGAGGTAGGTTCCTGGGAAGCTATGGAAGCTGAAACAGGGTCCCTCACTAGTAGGGACCTTTCTTAAATCCTGCACATAATTCTGGATTCTATTTCTTAAAAAGCACCATTCAAACTGGCCTCAGATGTTCAACGACAGCCCCGTCAATATAGGAAGACGCCTGCCCCTCCCATGCCACTGCAGAGGAGTGCCCGATGCTGACAGCACGAGACGAAAACATGGGGGTTACTGAAAACCACCTCAGGGCTTCTCACTTTTCTACCTAGGACAGGTGATTCTCAGCAGCCCAGAGCCTCCAGCCCCCCCATACCCACAGTGCATCAAACAGGCCACCTCGGGCCTTTGCACAGGGGGATGGTCCCCAATACTCGGCCCTCTCTTGGCCTAGATGATGCCTGCTGCTCCTGCAGCTCTCCCTTCCAGCCATCAGCCCCTGGGGCCTCTAGGTCAGTGGTTCTCAACCTTCCTAATGCCTCGACCCTTTAATACAATTCCTTATGTTGTGGTGACCCCCAATTTCATTGTTACAAATTGAACATAATTAAAGCATAGTGATTAATCGCAAAAACAATATGTAATTATATATGTGTTTTCCAATGGTCTTAGGCGACCCCTGTGAAAGGGTCGTTTGACCCCCAAAGGGGTCTCGACCCACAGGTTGAGAACCGCTGCTCTAGGTGAATTCTAGCTCTCATTACTGCCTTCCTGACGCCCAGCAATGCATCTGGTGCACAGTAAACACGGGGTAAACGTTGTTTAGTGAATGGAGGTGGGAAGGCTGGGCCAGGCTACAGGGACAGCATGTATAAAGAAACAGAGGGCGGGGTGTGCTAGGGGCAGGCATATGGCTCAAGAAGCCTGGACACTGGGAAGGCATTGGGGAGCGATGGGGAGTGGAGCAGGGAAGGACGCAGGGCCTGTTTTCATTCCCTCTCTGGTTTTTAATGCCCCTGTTTTACAGACAGGGAACTCTGAGCATGATTTGCCTAAAGTCCACAGCAGGGAGGGGTGGTGGATTCCAGAACTCCTGTCACTGTGTCAGGTCAGTGTGTCTCTGCCCAGCGCTGGCCCCACCTGTGGAGGGATTCTCCCGTTGACACAGAGAAATGGAGCGCGATCACTGACCCTGCCAGGGTGGCCCCAACAGAGGCACAGTGACGGGGGTCACCTCAGGCTCTCCCCACTCGGTGGGCCCTGGGCGGCAGGAGCCGCACTGTCTGCAGAGGCGTTGCTTCTGCTTTCATGGTGCTGTGTCTGCTGCTGTTTGGAATTTCATGGTCTGGCTCTAACCTCGGACAACCAAGACTGGTCGTCCTGGCTGCCGGTTACATTCGTGGGGGCAGTTATGGAGAGTTGCCACTCGTCCACACACTGATAGAAGCCAGGTCTGTGGGTAGGACACATCCCTCCAGTCCGTATTACACTGGGGGGAACTGTTTGACACTTTCTTCTTTCCTCCTTCACCAGCCAAGTTCTCTTGGGCAGCAGGGTCTCGGCCTCCTGCCTCTGAGGGTGGATGGAGGAGGGGGGTCTGGGGTGCAGATGCAACCATGGCCAGGAGTTGCTGCAGCAGGGTCGGGCACACAGTAGGTCGGTCTCCCAGAAATAGCTGTTGAATGAAGGATAAAGGTGTGAATAGCAAGGCCGTGTGTGGGACTTAAGCAGAGAATGCTGAGGAAGAATTCACATGAGGTGGTGATGGGGGGATATCAGGCTCCTCCTGGTTACTCTGAGTGTCTGTGCTTCAACCGGTCTCCAGAGATGGTAACTGCAGGTTTATGGGGTACAAGGGATGTAGCAGTGCACTAAGTGGCAGGCTGCTGGGGAGGAGCCCAAGCCGGGGCCGGGCACTGCACCACTCCTGCTCACCCTGGGTCCCCGCTGTACCTGCTGTGCTCAGTAGCGCTGCTGCAGCAGTGGGAGAGGCTCCCACCACCGCAGCTGCACTTGTCAGCTGTGAGCCTGGTTTCTGGCTGAGTGGTGCTCCCACTGTGGGAGCCCACTGACCATCAGGGGGCAGCTCCTGCATTGAGCATCTGCCCCCTGGTGGTCAGTGCATGTCATAGCGACCGGTTGACCGGTCATTCGGTCGTTTGGTTGTAAGGGTTGCTTAGGCTTTTATATATATACTAGAGGCCCGGTGCACAAAAATTTGTGCACTCGGGGGGCGAGGGGAGGGGGGTCTCCCAGCCCGGCCTGTGCCCTCTCGCAGTCTGGGACCCCTCGGGAGATAACGACCTGCTGGCTTAGGCCTGCTCCTGGGTGGCAGAGGGCAGGCCCAATCCCTAAGTGCAGCCCCTGGTCAGGCTCAGAGCAGGGCCGATTGGGGAGTTGGGGCGCCGCCCCGTCATGCACAGAGCAGGGCGGATCGGGAGGTTGCGATGCCACCCTCAGTCACGCTCAGGGTAGGGCCGACTGGGGGGTTGGGGCACTGCCCCCTGTCACACTCAAGGCAGGGTCGATGGGGAGGTTGCAGCGCCACCCCCTGTCACGCACAGAGCAGGGCC